GAGTTATATCATCTGGTTTCTGTAAATTCATATACCAGATGGGGACCTCCCAAGCTGATTCTACAGAGCAACTATATGGGTCGAAAGTCTATTTGGAGAAAAAGATGGCATATCATTCGGATTGTACCCCTATACGCTGTCTACTTTGAGCATTGGAGTTTTCTTGTTGGTTGTTTTTCTCAGTACATATTGCATTGGGATTCATTGAGAGTACCAGAGAAACGCATAACCATAAGCAAGGATTATACCACTTGAGTTTGTATTAAGTTATATGTGAGTGTTGATGTCTGTTTTTAAATATCTATCCTTTGATACCAAACATACTACACTACTGGATCTCCTCTTTTTATTGTATGTCTTACTGAGGATTGGAATACTCAAGGATCATGAAATCACTTGAGGATTTGGACTTTTATCTATATGTGAATGATTGTACGTATAAATGTATTTATATATAAATTTGTTCTGTTGGGCCAAAACTAGAACTCCCCTTGTCTTTTAGGTAAACAGGTTAATATAGATTTTTAATATCTGCTATATGTTGCATTGCTGGCCCTGTATGGGTGTATCACAAGTTGTACATTCCAACTTAAAATCCAGATGCTGCAAAGATAAAGGGAATGATTACTATCAACAGTGATTCCCATACAAGAACAATCTGCTTCAGGCAAGGGGCATGCAGGCACATTTATTTGCTGTGAGGATTGAGAACACATACTCTGGAGATTGTAACTTCACTGATCTGGTGAGGTTCTTGTAGAGAGCAGCTATTCCGTCCAAAGAAAGACAGTTGTCCCCCAGGAGTAAGATGACAAGGACCTGTATGTGCAATATATGCTCTGTTCTGTCAATTTTTATTCTGGCTTTGTGGTTTAAATAGGTTTAAATATATTTTGCCTTTAGATCTTCCAGCATGTAACTGCTTTTAAGGAAAACACTGTAATTTTATTAGTGAGAAATAGGAGCAGCACATCTTAACATATATTTGTTAATAACAGTATTACACCATTACAGTATTACACTATTCAGTTTTATTTCTCTTCTTGTTCTATGTCTTACGGAGAATTAGAATACCCAAGGATCAATAAATCACTTGAGGATTTGGAGTTTAATCTACATGTGAATAATTGTACATATAAATTTTAGTACTGTGTTAGGCACAGCCTGGTACTCCCCTTGTCTTATTGTTTAATATTTTTTGTGGATTTAGAGGGAACCCCTAATTACAGTGTTTGCACTTTAACAAAGAATCCAAGCACCTCATCCATTTCGGTTTATTTATCATGTCTACCTTTAAAGAAGACAGTCACAAAGTGTAGCAGCAAAAATGAAATAATATGAAACAGTACAACTCAAGAAAAACATGAATGTATTGACAGAAAGCCAATGTGTGTGGGTATGAATACACTGACAGGTTTGTGTAGTGTCAAACTGCATGTTAATGCAAAGGTGTATCTTAATGAAGTGTCAATATGTGCAAAAGCAGGTATATATTTTTTTATTAAAAGATTGTGTGTGCTAATGGTGTCCCCAATTCCCAGTTCCTGCATCTGTTTGTATCTCATGTGTCTCTTCCCATCTCTTAAAAATTGTTATTCTCTCCACATCCCACCACTGCCTGTATAAAATTGTTATTCTCACCACATCCCACCCCTGCCAACCTACTTATGTATCTACCTCTATGTCCTCCAAGTTTTGCCCCACCCATTGCTTCTAAGTGTGTCTCTCTTCATACAACTATGTTAAACAATCACGTATCCTTCTACTGATCTCTTTGATGTATTTCTACATAATCATTATTCTATCTTGACTCTTGTAGTTTAGCAGAGTAGGATCCTGGTGGAGGCTGTTGCCTTCCATCTGACAGGCTTACTTACAACTCTCCTTGAATGTTGTGTTGCTGTGTTTGTGAAGTGAGTAAGAACGTGATATAACATTATATCCTTCTCTTCCAACCAGGACCCCACTCAGCCTCACTTCTAAAGGAAATAAGAAGACACAAACAGCCCCTAAAACTGTGAGATCCCTTGTCATCATAGATTAAATAAAAAGATACTAGGCCAGTTGAAGAGCTACAATTACCTTAGCACAGGACTGCACAACTATGGTTGTTAGTGGTGAGTCTGTATGTAACAGGTTTGTATACAGGTATTAGACAACCGCTTCTTATTTTTCATACATTTGTGCCATTATTGAAGGAATATAAAAAGCTCATCTGAGTAATATGAATGTTCCCATGAACCTGTTAGCACTTCCTTTTTACTTTTGACATGAGATCATTTATTAACAAGGTAGTCTTGACACTATTTACAGCTTATCGCTTTGCTACCTTCACTAACATTAGTGTATATTATGCCGAGACACTAACTGACACACATACAGTGGTGCCTCGGTTTATGAATTTAATGCGTTCTCCGGGATGTTTTGTATTGCGAAAAATAGGAATGTATTAAAACCCAATTAATCCGTTCCAGAGGTCAGAAAGAAGTCAAAATGAGCGGGCATGAAGTAGGAGAGACAGACAGTTGTTGTCACAAGGTGGTACTAACTACAGTATAGGATGTTGATTACCAGAGACTTTCCCATGTACCCCCTCAGTTCCTTTTATCCCTCCCCCTCCTGCACTCCTCCCTCCTGATAGCAATCGGGGAATCGAACCCCAGCAGGATAAAGGTCAAAGGACAAATGTGATAAACAATATGTGCAGTAGTGTAAATGCCATTGAATGTCAAGTTTATTGAATTCATTGTACACCCCTGTGACCTTCCCCCATACCCGTTTTCTCTTCTGTATCTCCTGACAATGAAATTTAATAAAAATTGTCAAATTGAAAAAAAAAAATGAGCGGGCATGGAAACCAACCCACAACGCAGAACACACAGTAAAAGGCACGCAAACGACAAAGCTCAGCTCCCTACCTTTCCAAATGCACCAAAAAAGTTCCAAAACGTCCCAAAACGTCTGCAAATTTTTTTTCAGAATGGCTCCAAAACTTGCAAAAACCGCTCCAACACCTCCACACTCGACACCACATGCTACCCATAGACTCCAGCATGCAGGGGGCGGTGCTATAAACCTCCCAGATGCAATGCATCCTGGGGTAACTTGCTTCGTATGGCAAAAACATTTTGTAAACCGAGGCATTATTTTCAATGGATTTTCATTTGTAAACCGAAAATGTAAACCTAGGTACCACTGTATATTTAAAATACCGTAAATCAACTATTTTATTATAAACTGGGAGTAATTCCCTTTAACCCATTTTAAAGTAGTTGTTTACTTTTAGAGTGACATTTGACAAAAATGTAAGCGCAATAATAATAAATATAAGATTAGCTAATATATGTTGTAGCCAGCAGGTGGTGCACAAGTGTATATATCCACATTACAGCTAGTGCAGCATCTAGTGCTGCAAACAAAAATGCATGATGTACAAGATACCACCTTTATCTGGATTTTTCTCTTTCACTGTGGGGATTATATTTTTATTTTTTTAAGTTTTACTTATTTCTTATATCACTTACTCGTTTTCCTTCTTTTCCTGAATCATCTCTCTTACTTCCCCTCCTACTCTTTTTTCCAGCATGTTGAAACATATTTTTGAGATAGCTATACTAAGTGCTTTCCATTTCCAATTACTTTTTTCAAGCGCTATATAATAGATATACACCCAATAAATACATGTATATCAAAAAAGATCTTACAAAGCTGCAGTTATTGTAAATGCAGACTTTGCGAGCACTCCCCCTTTTCCAGGCTCTTCACAAGGAAATAACCAATCAGAGGCATCTCATTGAGAAGCTTGTGTATCTGTCACTCAGTGTGTGCATACTGCAACAGCTTTCAGGAAGAACATTGGCCTGATGTTAATATTTCTCATTCCTTCCTGCGGAAGAATGAGAAATATGGCAAGCTCAAGGGGGGGACACCTTTCATTAGCTCAGTGGAGCTAATGGAAGGAAGTAGCAAACCTCCCTGGTTGTTTACCTGACAGCCAGGGACGGTGTTTCTTAATTTTATATTAAAAGTGCAAATTTCACATAGAAATCAGTGCTTTTATAAATTGTCTTCTAAATGGGATACTGCAAGCTCATAACGCTAAACTGCTTTATGTGTGTGCGGAGTGGTCCTTTTAGTATATGTTTACTTTTTTCTGAAACAGTTTTTCAGTCTCTGACAGACTTCCTTTAGTCAATTTGTTGTCCGCGATTTTATTTTGCTCCTCCATTTTGTAACTTTCACAAATGTTAAATAAATTTATACTGCAAAAAAATAATTCATACTAATCTACAATTGAGGTTGTTTAAACAATAATGAAGTGCAACCAATTGAGAATATACGTACATAGTATAATCGACCATCTGAGCACTTTTAATATAGCGACAAGAAAAGGCAAATTGTGATGGACTAATTTTAATGAGTTCACTCCTTAAACACTGCTCCTGCAAGATAGAAAGAAAAAAAAATGTTCCGTACATTGCATATTTTAGTACATATACTTCATTATAAGTATTCTAGAAAACAAAAAGTAATTGGCCAGAAGCAGATGTTCTTATTTCTTAAAACTGCAACCTAATTTATGAGTAAATGGAAAAAATCCTTGTTGCCCACTGGAAGATGTAAACTAGTCATAACTAGTGTTATGTGAAATGCAGGAGAGTGCATCTTGTCAGGTTATTAACCCCTTAAGGACCAAACTTCTGGAATAAAAGGGAATCATGACATGTCACACATGTCATGTGACCTTAAGGGGTTAAACAATGGGTGTTCTGTAGTACTTACTTTTCTATTGTTGTATTTCAGAACAGAGTACAATTTATCTGCTGCTTCAGTCCTTGGTGTTGCTATGACGACAGCAGGTACATAGCAACCACTTCCTGCCCTCGTTTTTGAAAGGACACAATCTCCAACCTTTTTGAAGATGAAAAAATATATATCAAAAAGATCTATCACATTATATCGGTATAGACACTTTAAAAATCTATACTGTAATTAAAAGCTAAAAATGTCTCATTTCAAATGATTGACATATAGATGGGAAAGATAACTTATATTGACCAAGTTATAGATAGGGAAGATCTGAAGTATGCCACAATGAGAACTTGTTGAGATAGTGCAACAGAGAGAGAGAAAAGGAAAAGAAAATATGCAAAAATATATAGATTCAGGGGGTGGGGGCGGGCCACCATGCCTGCTAAACGCATGTACAGCTCCTGCTACATCCCAGCTTTTCGACCCATTTAGTGGGTTCAACCCGGCATCTGGAGCTACAGAGTAAGAACCCATACCATCCAGGGGTGCTGCCACAACTTTGAAACCCCAAATCAGTCTATTGCTCCTTCATGGCACAACTCCCAGCAACTAAGGCCTACCCAGGTGGTGAGTGGAGTGGACGGCCGCCACTCTGCTGTCCTGCCGGGTGGCAGTTACTCTACACCCCCTTTTGATTTGAGAGGCCGGGGGGGTCATCCCGATCCACCCTGGGGCCCTTCTCACGCCAGAAATGGTCGGAGGTCACTCTCACCTCGCAAGATGGCGGCGGAGCCTGCTCTGAACTTTGAGCACTCTCTGAAGAAGGCAGCCTCCCTCGGGGTTCTTGACACCTTCTGCGGGCATCCATGAAAAACCGGATCACTTGCGGCTCTTGGGACCCAAACCAGGCACTATCAATCGACACCGAAGCCCTATGATGGAGAGTACTTGATGCCCTACAGCTGTGCCACTACACAATTGGAGTGAAAACACCGGTGACTCAAGATGACTTCTCACTACTCACCACAGGAAGATGACCCGATGCGACCGCCGTGGTCCTGCACCTCTTTGAAGTATAGCGATCTGACACAGCCTGTCAGTGTTATGGGACTGAATCTTACTGGTGCAGGGGACTGAGGGGTTTCTATGTGGGGATTAGGGGTGCCGCTTCATGTCTAACTCACTGTTACTTTGCCTTTTTTGCTTTGCTTTATTTTTAATATGCTCATCTGACTAGCTAAAAATCTGGTTGGGCTCAGGGATCTTTAGCAACAATGGCATGTGTTCTTCTTATCTGTACTAGCTTTCTGTTTACTATCTCACATGCCACATTGCCTTAAGTATTTCTCTTTATACTTGAAATCATACTTTGCAGTTCTAAGACATAAACAAATTATCTTTTCTTAAAAAAAATGTGCTATGACCTTAAATGCCAGACCATAGTTTTTTCGATGTTTATGTGGCTAGCAATAGATGTCATGGCATTGCCAGCCTGTCTATAAAACCTATGCACAAATAAAATAAAGATTAAAAAAAATAAAAATAAAAAAATAAAAAATATAGATTCCATTGAACAATAAAAGGATTTACAGCTTATTTAGAAAAAAAGGAATATAAACTTCTTATGTAGCAATTCAATATTTCTTCCTTTTCTACAATTAATTTTGTCTGACATTTGCCAAGGCCAACCAAATACATGAATCATTTTAAAAATTGTCATAATAATAAAATAATTGTTTAACCTTTAGAGGCGGGCAGGGCACAGATCCTCCAGTTGGTATTATAAATTTAATGGGAATAATCTGATTTTCCCCTTGGCAGAAATCTACTTCAGCATGCTTTGAGTGGATGGTCTTTATGACAGTACCTACAAGGAATGGCAAATTCAATACACAAAGAAAAAATAAAGGACATATTCATTGTAAAACTAGAAATAATATATTTTAGATAAATGTATAGTGTATGGAATTATTTTTTGCTTTTTTGCTTACATTCATACGTACAAGCTGGAGATAAATTCAGTGACATTGTATTATGTTCAAATATATTCTGATATTGTTGCACTGATGTGTTCTATAGTTTTAAGTAATCACAGATTGCTAAACTAAGTTGGGTTCTATGTAAAAAGATTTAGAAATCTAACAATGTAAGTGGAAGATGAGCTTTTTATTCAGTTGATGCTAATTTTGTATGGTTATGTGATATGACTCTTTGTAAATATCACTTATCCGGCACACACTCAGCTATCTGTGAAGAATGAGTACACAGCAACGACGTCACTTGCCCATATGGTCATATAGCTGATATCCAGCCCCGCATAGTCATCTTATTGTTGTAAGACCCATGGGTATAAGAACCATGAGAAATCTGGTCAGTGGATAGCCTTTTGATATCACCATATCAACAGCTCACTTCTCGCTATCTCACAAGCCCACTCCTCTTAATCAATGTGTACATTGATGTAGACCATCATGACTTGGAGGGGGAAAGTTAATCCCTTATCAGAAACCATGCAAACTGTTCTGATGGAATCTGTTCTCCCATCCCATCCACTTTTTAAGTTCACAGAAATCACTCATACCACTTAATGTTATCCCACACAGCTCCATGACTATATAGTAAGATTACAGCATTAGATATCACTTTTTACCAAGACAAATTATCGAAACAACAATTTTTTTAATTCCTTGTGAACAAAATAATTTTTTTTTACATTGTATAACATGTTACCTTGATAGTAAAAGCCATCAACATCTGATCTTGCAATGACCTTTTGGTGTTTTAGTGGGTCTATAGCTTTTTTTCTCTGTTGCATTTTTATATTTTCATTCTTGGTCTCTTCTTTATTGTTCTACAATATATATGAAGTATATAATTAAAGCATAACTGAGTCCATACACACACACACACACACACACACAGACTGCTGAGTCCATACACACACACACACACACACACACACACAGACTGCTGAGTCCATCCATAACTGAATACACTTTAGCTTATCCTTCTTAAATTCCATGCATATTTCTACATAAATAAAACCATAAATTAGATTGGTTGAGGTCAGGGAAGATGAAATAAAGATTAGGGGATAATAAAAAAAAAAATGAAACAAATAAAATTTTAAGAGGGGACATTACATCATCATCAGTATGTCAATCATAGCTGTACTGGTCATTGGTGCTTTTATGGCTAGCCACCCAAGACAGTAGACGACATAGAAAAAATGTAATCGTCATTCTAGCACTATACATGCAATGTAACTATCCCCAATGGTACATCTGTTGCATAATAGTTATGGTATAGGCTAGAATAAAATCCTAGCTTCAGGACTTGTCTGTAGTGGAACAAGGTTCATGTAACAAAAAAATCTAAGTTGAATGTATGAAATGAAAACATAAATAGCAATGCTACACTGATCCAACAGGAATAATTAAATAAATTGTGACTGAATTATCCCTCCCAAGAGTAACAGGTTGCAATTTACCCACTGGAAGTTTAAAATTGCATCACAGTTGAAAAACAATAGTGGGACCCACAATACCCCCCCATAGACACGGTACTCCTTAAACTGAAAGATAATTATTTCATGGATAAATTGACAGCGCAAGTAAGGGGGATCAAAACTGCCTTTAAAAAGATATAGGAACACTGGGACGACTACATTGATCCAGAATAACAGAACAGGCATGCTTGGGAGGTTCTCGGGACACTTACTTGCCCCCCCTCCTCCCCAGCGCTCATTGATCCCCTCACATGCCATGCCCCTCCTAGGTTTGGGCTGGGCACTGGTCTCCGGAGTACTGGGGTGCTCTCTGGCATACTCTTAAGATGATGGCTTGCCATCTACCTTCCCTCTAACTTTCCTCCACCTCTTCTACCTTTTGTCCTACCCTCCTTCTGCATTCTTTTTTCTCTCTTCTCTTGTATTCAACAAACACACACACACACACACAGACTGCTGAGTCCATACATACACACACACACACACACACAGACTGCTGAGTCCATACACACACACAAACACAGACTGCGGAGTCCATACACACATACAGACTGCTGAGTCCATACACACACACACACAAACACAGACTGCGGAGTCCATACACACATACAGACTGCTGAGTCCATACACACACACAGGCTGCTGAGTCCATACACACACACACACACACACACACACACAGACTGCTGAGTCCATACACACACACACACACACACACACACACTGCTGAGTCCATACACACACACACACACACACATACTGCTGAGTCCATACACACACACAAACACAGACTGCGGAATCCATACACACATACAGACTGCTGAGTCCATACACACACACAGACTGCTGAATCGATACACACACACTGCTGAGTCCACACACACACACACTGCTGAGTCCATACACACATACAGACTGCTGAATCGATACACACACACTGCTGAGTCCATACATACATACTGCTGAGTCCATACACACGCACAGACTGCTGAGTCCATACACACACACAGGCACACACACATACAAGCTTCCTCACTAGCAGACAGACACAGACACACACACCTGAGAATATCAAGCCTACCTGTTGCTGGGGCTCAGACAGCCATCTTCTTGCCTTTCCAGCAGCAGCATGGTCTGCTGTTTAACGGCGGGGTGGGGCTTATGTGTGGGAGGCGTGACTTAATTTAGGGGCGGGACCTTGCCGGGGAAGCTGCTGAAAACACCCAGCACTGTTCCAGCTCCTCTGTCCTGCATAACTTAAGCACATGGCCAGAAAGTTGCTGGCATTTGGGGGGGCACAGCATGATGTAGGGGGGGGGCACCCCCCCGCGATGCCACTGCATGTATGCATGCCTGGATGTACCCATCCAGGGTCCATATCTCTGTTACGGTTGTGTGCGAGTGGCTTTTCTGGAGGCTCAGATTGGAGATCTCGAGATGCAAGTCGCAACTTTCAGGGAGATTGACAATCTTGAGAGGAGTCTGCTGCTCAATGAGCAGAGTTTAGTGGGGACAGGTAGTGGAGAGGGAGGAGATAAGACAGATGGGGAACAGGCATGTAGCTGGGTGACAGTGGGGCGAGGATGCAGGGGGGGAGGGAAGAGGAAAGGGCTAGCTAGTCCCGATTTAGTGCAACCTAGCAGATTTGCTAGGTTGTTGGGAGCATCAGCTCAGGTGTAGCTGTATTAGAGGAAGCTGTTACTTCTAACAGCCGAGGTAACAGCCCCTCTAGTACGGGTGGGGATCAAAATGTAAGGAAGGCAAGACATGTTGTGGTGGTAGGGGACTCTATCATTAGGAGAGTAGATAGGGCAATCTGCCGCTCTGATCGGCTCAACCGGACAGTTTGCTGTTTCCCGGGTGCATGAGTCCGGCATGTTGTTGACAGAGTGGATGTATTATTGGGAGGGGCTGGGGATGACCCAGCGATCATGGTCCATGTTGGTACCAATGACAAAGTAAGAGGAAGATGGAAGGTCCTAAAGAATGATTTCAGGGAATTAGGTAGCAAACTTAAGAAAAGGACCTCCAATGTGGTTTTCTCTGAGATATTACCTGTGCCACGCGCTACAGTGGAAAGGCAGCGGGCGATTAGAGAGGTCAATATGTGGCTTAAGTCTTGGTGCAGGAAGGAGGGTTTGGTGTTTTTAGAGCACTTGGGCCAACTTTGCGCTTGGGTACAACCTTTATAGTAGTGATGGATTGCACCTAAACGGGAGAGTGCTGGGGGATAGGATGGCTAGAAGGTTGGAGAAGGGGGGAGGGTCATAGTAATCTACAAAATGGAGATAGGACAGAAGGAGATGGGCTTTAGCTCAGTATAAGGGGGATGGAGACCAGGGGGAGGTGGGGCGCAAGCTCAGAACAGAGAAGGTATGTAATGTTCAGAATTCACAAAAAGTACAAGTGACTCATGCTATTAAATGTATGCTTACTAATGCAAGGAGCCTAAATAACAAAATGGGTGAACTAGAGGCAGTAGCATAAACAATATGATATAATAGGCATAACTGAAACATGGTGGGATGAGACGCATGACTGGGCAGTTAACTTAAATGGGTACATGTTATTTAGGAAGGATAGAAAAAACAAGAAGGGTGGTGGGGTATGTTTGTATGTCAACCATGATTTAAAGCCAAATCTTAAGCAAGTGGAATGCGATGAGGAAAATGTGGAAGCTTTATGGGTAAATATCTGCTTGGGGGAAAAGAAGGGAAACCAACTATTAGTTGGGATATGTTATAAACCACCTAATGTTAATATTGACGAGGAACAACAGCTGTTTGAGCAAATTGAGGAAGCTGCAAATCTGGGTAACACTTTAATTATTGGAGATTTTAATTACCCGGACATAAATTGGGACAGAGGGACTAGTAGCTCAGCAAAGGGAATTAGGTTTTTAAACTTGTTAAATGACACCTTCATGTCACAACTTGTACAAGCACCACCTAGAATGGACGCTTGTCTGGACCTGGTTTTAACAAACAATGTTGATCTTTTTACCAACATTCAAGTAGGTGAGCACTTGGGAAATAGTGATCACAATATAGTGTCCTTTGAAATAAGCACATGGGGTATACTAAAACATGTAATGTTAAAAAGGCCAATTTCAATAAGTTAAAGGGACACTATAGTCACCTGAACAACTTTAACTTAATGAAGCAGTTTTGGTTTATAGAACATGCCCCTGCAGCCTCACTGCTCGATCCTCTGACATTTATGATTTAAATCCCTTTGTTTATGAACCCTAGTCACACCTCCCTGCATGTGACTTGCACAGCCTTCCATAAACACTTCCTGTAAAGAGAGCCCTATTTAGGCTTTCTTTATTGCAAGTTCTGTTTAATTAAGATTTTCTTATCCCCTGCTATGTTAATAGCTTGCTACACCCTGCAAGAGCCTCCTGTATGTGATTTAAGTTCAATTTAGAGATTGAGATACAATTATTTAAGGTAAATTACATCTGTTTGAAAGTGAAACCAGTTTTTTTTTCAGAACAAGTGGAGTACAGCTCGCTAAGGTATACTACTAAAGCAAAGGGGGATAACCCCTAGTAGAATCAAGAAAAAAAGAGGTGAAAGCAGTATACCTATATTAGGGTACTGGGGACCTAGCGAGAGAGCCAAGCAAAAGGCTAAGCATCCCAATCAGAAAACAAAAAATTCTTTATTTATTGAATTGGTTTAAAAATCGCCACAAGAAATGGCGATCACCCAAGTGTAACACACATACTAAATAAAGTGTAAAATTGAAAGAAAAAAATAGAAAATAAAAGTAAAATCAATGAAACTGGCTTGATAACTAAAGTTTGAAAAGATTCTAACGTTGCACTCAATAGATTCTCTGTTACAGCTCATGTCTGTGCTGAACAGGAAAAAGTATTAAACGTACAATATGCAAGGGGGAAGGATAGCGTATCCTAAAATGTGGGAGATAGAAATCCTGTATATGGATATGAACTAAACTGCCTTGAAAGAGGAGAGCCTTAATGCCAGGTGTAAGCAGACTCAATGAATGAGTGGTAACTAGTAACCATTCGTCAAAAGGTTGTAGGTAAATTGAGTAACCTCAAAGTTTACTATGTATATGCCTGAGAGTGTGTAAGAGAAGATCCTGGATATTGAAATACTTCCTTGAATAAAGGGAGTGTTGCTGAATATGTGCTGCTGGATATACTGCACTCTCAGGTTGAAGGGAAGTGCTAGAAACTCGCTGTAGGGAAACCCCCTTTGTAACTACAGGGGCACCTGGAGCCAGCACCCTTCGTTGAAATAATAGTTAAAAAGGGAGGGAAAAGGCAGTTAGTGAAAAAATTGTTGATGTCGGTAGACAGATTAGATAGCC